AATCCAGAGCAAAAGGCGTTAAGCTACACTGGAATGACTTCAGAAAAAGAAAGTGACTGTCTTTGAGTAGTCCAGTCAAAGTCCTGACTTGTGAATCCTATTGAGAGTCTGTGGAAGAGTGGAAAACATAAGCAATCCCCAAAATACTTAAGGAAGTTTTAGCAAATCTGCCTAAATGAGCAAAAATTGTACTTAGTGGTGTGTAAGGTTTTACAGAGACAGACCTAAAAAGAATTGTACAGTAGCTGTAATTATTGCCAAAAATTGAGTTTGTGTTTGAATACTTAATGCAATCAACATATTTTAGATTGTTCTTTTAGTTTTTGCTGACATTTACTGTAATTTATCTTACCCTTCTTACTCTTCAGTTTGAGCATTCAGGTTTTAAATAAAAAAAAAGATTATATCTGAAGAAAAAAAACATGAATTTAGTGGCACTGACTAAACACATTTTGTATTCAGGTTTTAATGGGGTCTTATGCTAAAAGTGATGTCTAGGCAGGATGCCCAGAGTGATACAGCATTGCCAAAGGTAATGCTAACTCTGCAATACATGAATTGGCATTCAACTAGCAATAACAAGTTTTATCTTGGCCAAAGCTCACTTCCTGAATGAGTTTAAAAGCTTTTGTTCTGCAGCGCAGAATTTTTAATCCTGATTTTCTGAATTGAGTTAATACACCGAAAAAGTATTCTCCCTCAATAATTTCTTTTGTTTTATGACAAATTATGTATCCATTTTTAAGTGATTATTTGAATCAAAATATAAAATCTCAAACTGAACACATGGGTGAAGGACATTAAATGTCAGCAAGCCAGTAAAGAAAAATGAGAAACTAAAATGTTAATTGCATATTCACCCAAACCTAAATGAGTTCAGATGCCAAAACCACTCTGACAAATCACAGAAATAGTTGAATTAATTCCATTTGTTATTATTAGTGATCTGAAATAAACACACCTGTCTTGGTAAGGTTTAAAGCAATATTCAACCATGAAGGCAAGAAGCTTTTAAAACAATCCATTCCAAAGGTTGTAAAAAAGCTTATATTTGGAAAAGATTATAGCATTTCTTTATGTATGTTCTAGCAAAACGTGATTATTTACTCTGGGGTGCCTGTCCCATAGAAACAAATCCTCCCCATGGTAATTGGGGTGCCCATCTCATTGAGACAGCTCTTGAAACAGTTTGCCATTCTTTAAGAAAACTTTTTTAGCCACAATCTTTTCGAACATCAGTGCTGATTGTTCTACCTTTTGTTAGTTTGAATATTGTATCTGAACAAAAGAGTGTAAATTCAGGATGTGGAGGAATCTTCTCTATTCTTCCAAAATACTTTTTAATTTTTTTCATGATTTAAAGTTGTAAAATTGAACCTAGAAGATCATATTATTATTATTATTATTATTATTATTATTATTATTATTATTATTATTATTATTATTATTATAGATACATAAACTATAATTGCATACTGTGAAAGATACTATACAAGAACAAACCTCTCAATGTCCTACTTTAGAGGAACAGAAAAAATATATTGGACTCAAGAGCATCAATATTATTAAGCAATTATGTTAATTTTAGGAGTTAAATGAGCTGTGCTTCCAGAGAAGGCTAATATTACTGGGTATAGAATATTCAGGAGAGAAAGGCAAAATGAAAGAGGTGGTGAAGTACTACTAATACTAGTTCTTTTCAGTCTTTAGAAATCACACTGAAAAACAAAGCAACAAGAGGTATAGTGAAATGAGTCTGCTACAGATAACATAATCCAGACAAATGGAGTTTTTAATGAAAGTTCGGGAGGAATGAAGGCAGCCGCGCTCATTCGACACAGCTGCTGCAATTCTCACTAATCCTGACGTAAGCAACCGATCTCCATAAATATCAAACGTCACCCTCTCCTCTTCCTCGTTCGTTTTCTGCATCCCTCCTCCACCCCCTCTCCACCTTTGCAGCTACCCAATTGGTTGCATGGGGGTCCTATCCTCCCTGTCTAACGGCCGGGAGGTTGGCCCTCAGCCAAGCGGGTTACGCCAAATCTCCACATCACAATAAACAATTCTAATTTCTCCCAAGCTTTCGGCTGCTGTCATTCCTCGTGAATCATAATTATTAGATATTATGGGATTACATTTGTCCTCACTGAGACTGAATAGTTCATATGATGAATGTCTTCTTTCTAACCCATCAATAAGGGAAAGTGTTTTCATTGGTCCTACAGTATCTGTTCAAGTAACCAACATAGACTAACAAAGGTAGACTAAAGAATAATATTGGGAAACAACAACATGATCACTTTTGAATTCACAAGTTTGAAGAAATGTTCTGTTTCTGAAAAATGTGACTTCTTAGTCCCAAAATTCAAGGAAAACAAAAAGGAAGTAGTTCACATTGTTGGAGGTTATGTTGTCCATTGTTGGAGTTGCTAATTGCTAACAATTAGCAACTAATTTACACATTCTGGTCATGCCCGAAAATACAATATTGGAAATTCATACATTTTGCTCTTATATATAGTAATATAGTAAACCTAGACATACCATTTGAATTCTCTGTATGTTTTTGGGAAATTTTACCTTTGACTGCATGGAACTAAAAGATAGATACTGTATATACACTAGGAATTCTTTCACCTGCTAGTAAGAAAACGAACACGAAAAAATGGTTCACTAAAGATCCTCCAACACAGGAACAGTGGATCAGTGTTGTGAAGGTTTATGTAATGGAAAAGATCAAATGCAGCCATTAAAAATCCACGCTAAAACCCTGTACTGCGCTAAATTATCTGCTTTTTAGCGAGTTATACCGCAGTATGTGATTTGCTGGCCAAAATGTCCAACAAGCGGCACACGTGGTGCATTGGTTGTTAGTGAAACGATTGCTTCATTTAATCTCTTTACTGTGCATGTTTGAATACGCTATATATTGAAAACTAATATGGAATTTTACAACTAATTCCAAAATTCAAATGATATGCCTCAGGGACTCATTATAGTATTGTAGCATATATGGTTTGTGCAGGAAAATCAAAATATCCCCCCCTCCCAGCCGGGTCTTGCCTCCCGCTGTTCCAAAGCCATATGGTTTCAAAACGTTTTACTTCAGCCTAGCCTACTCACACCTTACAACCATGGCTACTGGTGCTGCTGTACATTCCAATGCGTGTCTCTGTGTTGGTCCACCAGGTAGATACCTCTGTTCTGACCAAACTATCCTATTCTCCTCCCCACATGGCCAGATGGCGCCTAGGCTGGGCACCATCTGAGTTGGATGCTGCATCATGGATCCAAGAGGGACATTGTGGATATAGCTATCGTTTAGGAGGATTTAGCTGGTCTACAGAGATCTGCTTGGAGTACTGACATACAGGAGAAATGATGGATGGATTAATACCTTTATTCATTTATTCCTTTTTTTAATTGTATAATGTTAGCATGATCAAGGGGGTTGGGCAGCCAGTTGACATTGGCCCCTTAGAGGTTTTTTTTCTCCTTACTAAGGAGTTTTTATTCCTCTCCTCTGTTTTCTTCTGGTTTTTCTGTTCTGTATTCACAACATGTATGGTCACTTGCTTTGTGAAGTGCCTTGGGGCAACCTTGTTGTGAAAGGCACTATATAAAATTATATTGAATTGAATTGAATTGTATGGTTTCAAAGTATGTGTGAAATATCTTACTCCAGTTATTAATTCAATCTATTTTTACTCACCCAGCTATGTAAAAATGTAGCCAAAAGGATCTATGTAAAGGTTAAATTCCAGGTTGAAAAGACAAGACTCACCACGTCTTCTCTAACTCTACAGTTATGGTCATTGGTCCATGGTCATTCATTATTAATATTGTAACGAACGGCAGGCATAAACACGGTAAAAACTGGTTGCAGCGCAGTGACAGTACAGCCCTCTACTCCCCTACGCATAACAGGGATGTTGGCTGCATAGGCTGAGAAAGGTCTTCTGTCTCTATTAAGTAACCCAGGAGACCTGGGTTCGAGCCCATGTGGTGCAGGATGAACTGGGACAGGAGCAGTGAGAGCACAATCCCAAAAACCTGAATTTGTTATAATATTATTAATAATATATTCCGTATTGCATTTAAATTGGAATGTTTTTACAAATATAAGAAGAGGCGATATACAATGTGTAAATATAACCCTTTTCCCTCCTTTTATTTAAAGAATTCTGTGAAGAAATCCTAAATAACGAAACCATGACTAAAAACAATTCATCCAGATACACACACTCACCCCATACCCAACAACAAGCTATAATAGTGGACTATGTTTATATATTCAGCTATTTAAGAAACAAAGTAATTCTCTGATCGGGCTTTGAACTGCCTGAGTGCAGCGCACTACATGACAGCCCATTGCCTATTCCCACTATAAGGACAATAACATATACATTTTTAGAAACTAACGTAAAATGTTTCCAAAATGTCCCCTTGTGATATTAAAGATTCTTAGTTACATGACTCTATATTAATATTACTATCAAGAGGTATTAAATCAGTACATCTTTTATGAAATTCAAATATTTTAAACATTTAATTAAAAAGTAAAAATCTTACTCACAGTTTCTTGCTTCTTCTGCTTTAGAGTAAGAGTTATGGCTGACACTAACACTTGATACCTCTGACCTTTTAGTTTGTTATTATATTAGTTTTGGGGGGCATATTCCATTGATGTTTCCACCTACTTCTGTCATTTACTGGCCTGTGCGTAGATTGGTAAATGAGGATTGCTAACTTTGCTAAATGGCTAAATGGTACAGATGGTTAATGTCATAATCCACATTAGTACAACCAACTAACCACAGTCAAAAGCATAGTTTTAAATGTTTTTAACTACAGTAAATGTTCTGCCCCAACTGATAAAGCAAGCATGTATTTATATGATTTATCAGGAAAGACTTTAAGTTTAGCTATCAAAGAAAACAAAATTTCACTCTACCCTTTTATATTGTTTGATTTGTTCTCTCTTATTTTCTCTTTAGGCTTTTGTTGATGATGGGGGTGCTGTTTTGTTGTGGAGCAGGTTTCTTCATTCGCAGACGAATGTACCCCTCCCCTCTCAACGATGAGCCTGCTTTCAATGTGTCCTTCACAAGACAGCCTGTCAGCACAACACCAGGTAAGGTGGAATTTGGAAAACACCTAAACAACTTTTGCCACCCATTACATTGCATGTTTGCACTGATATACTCAGCTCACTCTTAAATTCAGAAGACTTGTATAGAATATAGAATAGAATATATAAAATAGTTACAAGTTTTATGTTTTATACATTTATGTCCAGAACTGTTATCCAGACTGTATGAATGGCTCTTTGACGTGGGGGTTTGTGGAATAAATTAAATGTAAAAAAATACTTACATTGTTTTTTCAATATTTTGCAATCCTAACCTACAGTATAGGGCATATATCATTTTGATTAAGTAAAACAATGAGTTTCTCCACAAATGGGACAGGTTATGGTCATGTTTTTAAAGAAACAAATATTTATGTTTTGTGTAGTTCAGGTGGGTAGCTGCGTCAGCATGCGTAGTCTGCAAAGGAACAAGTAATAGGTTTATTCTATGCTGAAAAGAGAAGAGAGAAAACATGTTTTTTTCTTTCTTCTTCAGGTGTGAGAAAGACAGGGCAGACAGCAAAGATTAAATAACACAGAAGAACAAAAGCTGGGAGAGGGGAGGAGGCAGGACGGGGCAGAGAGGCAGAGAGGCCACTCAGGAAGTACAAAGTGGAGAGGGGTGAAGAAAGGTGTGAAGTCAAAACCCGCATGAGATTAGAGAAGATCACACGAAAATAAATTGGTCATTGAGAGAAGGAGGAAGGTGTGAATCTAATTTCAGGATTTTTTTCAGGATTTTTGTTTCTGTAGTCTTTCTGCTATGGGTGTTGAGAAACCCTTCTTTAAGAACGGAGACAGAGAGATTGGTCATTTGAGGTGAAATGAGAAACTATGGGCCTGGAGAAATCTTTCATCTTCACAGCCCTAACATGTTCTCTGAAGCAGTCTCCTAGTCTCCTTCCGGTTTTCCCAACGTAGGTAGCTGGGCATTTTTTGCAGGAGATTGTCAAGCATTGAAAAATTCATGAATTGAATTGCAACAAATTCATATAGGTGTTACTGTATAAGAAAATTGATAATCATTTTGCAGCCGATGTTCTGACATTTTATTAAATAGATACTACATAGGTGAATTTTATTAAGTTCATGTACATTTGGCATTAAGAGGAATCATTAAGAGGGTGTTTCACCTATGAAAGTATCAGGCTAGTAGGATGTGTGACCACTGAAAGTCACTTTACAACTGTTTTGTGACATTCTGTCTCATTCCACAATAACACACATTAACAGATGTTCAATGGAGCTTACATTTGGTGACTAGAGCTTCCTTAGCATAACTCTCATCTAGCATTGTTCCGCTAGAATACTATCACATCAGTAAGAGCATACAAGAAGGGCAGTGGCTGAGGTCCAAGAATATGATCAGTGTAGCACTATGTACAACAAATGACGTGTGGCAACTAAACACTCCTGCCTCGATCTCCAAATTGATTGATCTATTGCACATAACAATTCGTTTATGATCTTCCATCTGTGCCACACTTGCTGATGTCCATCAGTGTGGTCTGTATAAAACCTTGATTCATTGCTAAAGAGGACATGTCTCTACTGCTGATAAGCTTATCTGTCCAGCCTCCAACAAATTGGTTAGTTCTGTGTTTTTCTTGTTTTGATTTTCATGAGGCTTGGCAGTTAGCAGATAACACCTTGTTATCTGTACTTATCTTTTTTGTTTAAATAAAATGTCAACTTTCAAGCACCATCTTGAATGATTCTATAAGATTAGAAGTAGAAAACAACTATTTTGTTATAGAGGCATGTAAGACACACATGATCAAAGGCTATTTCTGGTGGTTTACTCTGGTAAACTTCATGGCAAACCATTAGAGCCTTCAAGTATAGAACACATAAGGCGAGACAGGAGAACAAAAACGGAGCAAATCAGGGAGACAGAGAGAGGAGAAACAGAGAAAACATCGAGATAAGACAGAGCATAACTTTCACCCTTTGCTTTCTCTATGCTTATGCGATGCCATGCAAGAGAGCCTTGTCCTGATTAGTCTTGGAGACCAGATTTTGGCTAAGTAATCTCAACATTATTTTAGAGAGCTTGCTTTCCTGTTTATTTTAGGAAATTATGGTTTCCTGTAATTTAGAATTCTCAGAGATAGTGTATGGACTTCTTATTGAGTCTATTATTAAATTTAGTCTTTTGAATATAAACAAGGGAATCCCACAAAATAAAATGGTATTTGTGTGGGGTTTATGTAGACACTTTCTTTTATGCAGCATCTTTATTAATCCTAATCTGGACTCCAAGAAACAGTGTAGCTAAAGACATATAGTTAAAGACAGACTGATTGAAAAAAAAACCTGACTCCAGATTGCCCATTTTATTGCAATTCTGAAATAAAAAATGTTATATTTATCCCCATCCTTTCTTTTCATCTTAAGAAAGGAAAGATATTAAAGAGTACAGAATTTAAAAAGGCAGACCCATCTGTCTACAGTAGCCAAAATGTATCCAAGACCCAGGGAGAAGGAATATTGCTGGCAGGTTTTTGCCCCCTCTCGGATAGACGGCTTTCAGGTGAGGTTGATTGAGGTGTTTTCTCAAACACTGATTTTTGTTCAGTTCTTTTTCACTGCTTTCTTCAGATATCTTGGGTCTTCAGTCTGTTCTCTCGGTCCAGTGGATTTTCCATTTTTACTGTATTCTGCATGTGCAGCAAAGCAAAGGTGCCAAGGTGGCAATTAACCTGATGCTGTTACTGTCTTTTTTGGCTGTGAAGAGTAAAAACCAAACACCAAAATCATGTTAGGAAATAGAAATACTGCAACCCCTGTCTTTGTACAGTAGGTATTGTTATAAGCCCATTCACATCTGTAGTATTAGAAAATACTATATCCCTTAAATATTGAATTGAATTGAATTGAAAGAAATAAGTTTTTATGTTTGGAAATACAGTACACCACTCATGTATTTCTTTATTTCTTCATTAATTTAAATATACAGTGGATATAAAAAGTCTATGCACCCTCATTGAAATTGCAGGATTTTTTATGTAAAGTCAGAAATCAAGATAAATCATGACAGACATTTTTCCATCTTTAATGTGACCTAGCAACCAACAAAATTCAGGAGAAAAACAAGTAGTTAATTATTTTAATTATTATAAACCTACCACACCCTGGTTGCAAAAGTGTGCACACCCCTTCCCAACTAATACTTTGTAGAAGCACCTTTTGCATTCATTACAGCAGTGAGTCTTTTTGAAAAGTCTCTATCAACTTTGCACACCTGGACTTTGCAATTTTATCCCACTCTTCCTTGCAAGAAAGTTCAAGCTCCTTCACATTGCCTTTAGGGTCCCTGATAGCTCTCCATAGGTCATACCTTGCATTCTTATAAAGGTTCAGATTGCCAGACCATGGTTTCTGGTTGGGGAAAAAGTGAACTGTTTTTGTGGGCACACAGTCATCTACACATGTCTTACTACATTTGGTGACAACTGTAGTGTACTCATGCACGGCTTGAGTACAACCTTTAAACACGGCCCAGTCCACAGATTCAAAGCAGCCCTGCAGCTTCATCTGTCTCCTCCATCCAGGGTTGTACTTGCTTGTGGACACATTCTCGTGCTTCAGCTGATTGTCCGAAATACGGATGAAAGATGGAGCATTTGGTGTCCTTGATAGCTGTGCAGCAGTGATCAAGAGTATTTGCACTCCTTGTTGGACAGGAGACATGCTGGTCATATTTTGAAAGAACTTTCCACAGGTTGGCCTGATTAATGTCCCGCAACAACACATACAGCTTCAGGGTAAGCAGTTTCATTGCTGTTGTGGCATGTAATTCACTGAGTGCTGTTTTCACATCCGACCGAATGGAATACACATCGCACACATAATGACAGATGAAAATTCTTTAGGTAGGTAGAAAGGACGACATTTTAGTAAGATATTCCAGGTCTAGAGAGCCAAATCGCTTCAGAATTTTCATGTCTGAACACCGAGAGTTGTTTGTCATTAGACATACACCACCGCCTTTTTTCTTACCAGCCAAACCATGCGATAGGTGGAGAATCCATTGAGCTGAACGGTTGAGTCAGGTTGATTTGGGGTCAGCCAGGTCTCGTTGAGACAGAAAATACAGCAATCCCTGATGTCCCTCTGGTGGCTTAACCTTCCACTTAGCTCGTCCATCTTGTTCTCCACGGACTTCGTGTTGGCCAGGAGGACACTCGGGAGTGAGGTCCGGTAGCCGCGGCGCTTCACTCTTGCTTGAAGTCCTCCCAGTTTACCACCGGCTCAGCTCTGAGTCAGGTGGGGGGTCCGTACGCAGAGGCACCAGAGATAGTTGATTTGGATTCAAGTAGGATATATCTGTGTTTAAATCGATGATTATCGATCCAATGTCCACAAGCACTTGTTGGTCATAAATAATTGTTGGAAAGACAGACTGGATACAAAAAGCCCACAATACGAAACAGACAAAGACATACAGACAACGAGCAACAAGTCTCAACTCTCCAGTGCCATGTTGAATTTTTCTTAGTGCTTATTTTGACGGGTCTTAGGGTCTTAGTGCTTATTTTGGCATAGTAAAATAATCTGGAGTGATGAGCTTAGCTCATACTATTGACAGCAGTTCATAAGCACTCCAGAAACAAAGGAAATGATCAGTGTGGATTCTACTGGTAAGTGCTGGTAAGAGAAATCAGCACCACCCCTAGTGTACTGATTTCTCTCGGTACAAAAGAGAACTGAACAAGACAGAGAGCATCTACTCCCAGAGAGCTAAATGGTAACATCTCTGGTGAGACAATAAGTTAGATTATCATAGAGACTGGTAAAGTCTGTTAATCAAAAACAGGCTACTTAAAATACCCTGACGGTTGATGGATCCTCTGGTGGTTTTAAAAAATAACTAAGAACTAAAACGGTAAAGTAGAATGGCTCAGGTTAAGGATTAAACTAGGGAGGGAAGAGTTAAAATTGTTTGAAAAGTTTTTGTACATTTTGAAAGATTGTGAAACAGCTGAGTAAATTGGTAGAAT